CGACACGCGTGTCGCCGGACATGCCGGGCGGTTCAAGACCCTGGAGTTGGTTTTCGCGCAACTACTGGTGGCCACAGATGTCCCGCCATATCGGACGCTACGTCGCGACCTGCGACTTATGCTGTCGCACGAAGGCCCTCCGAAGGCTTCCGCACGGGGAGCTACATCCAACCGAAGTCCCCCCGAGCGCTGGCACACCGTCACCGTGGACTTCATCGTCCGAGCTCCCGAGGCCCATGGGTATGACGGTTTATGGTAGTGGTTGACGCCCTCGGGAAACGCGCTCACTTCACCGAATGCCATATGACAATAGACGCGGTCGGAGCTGCCCGCTTGTACTATCGGAACGTCTGGAGACACCACGGAACCCCCGAGAAGTACATTTCAGACCGCGGTTCGCAGTTCATCGCTGACTTTTACGCGAACTCTGGCGCTTAATTGGCGTCAAGCCGGCTACCTCTACGGCTTACCACCCGCAGACCGACGGACAAACCGAACGCGTTAACCAGGAGCTCGAGCAGTACATCCGAATCTTCACCAACTACCAACAAGACGACTGGGACGAGCTTATCCCTGCCGCTGAGTTCGCCTATAACAACCACGTTCACTCCTCCACTCAACAGGTACCTTTTATGACGGACACTGGCCGGCTCCCCGAATGGGTTTCGAGCCGGGCACCCGCTCAGAGTTGGAGTCAGTGAACGAGTTTTGCTGATCGGATAGCGGACGGCGTCTCCGAGGCGAAGGCCGCGCTCGTCAAAGCCAAAGACGAGTATAAACGGTACTACGATCGGAGACGATCAGACGCTCCGAATATTCAAGTTGGTGATAAGGTTTGGTTAGATGCCTCTGACATCAGAACAACTCGGCCCTCCGAGAAGTTCTCCCACAAACGCCTCGGACTGTTCAAGGTGCTCGCAGAGGTTAGCAAAGGTGCCTACAAGCTCGACCTCCCCCCGCGTTACTCCAAGCTCCACCCCGTCTTCCCCGTTGTTAAACTCGAGCTCGCTCAGGACGACCCCTTCAATGGACGACCCGGCTACGACGAACCGCCCCCGAACTAGAGGACGGAGTCCCCGAATGGGAAGTCGAGGAAATCTTGGATGCCAGGATAAGGTATAAGCGTCTTAACTACTTCGTCAGGTGGAAAGGCTACGATGCTTCGCACGACTCGTGGGTTCGGTTCGACCGTGTCTTCGCGCCAGACAAAATTGCGGACTTCTATCGGAGGTACCCAGGTAAACCACGGCACATCGCCTCAGCGACCTTCGACTCCTTGCCCTTCCGAACTATGCGTCGGGACGCCGCATTCAAAGGGGGGGGTGATGTCAGGGGAACCCCCTTGGCCTCCTCGCCGGACCCTCGAACGCATCCGAGGCGCATCCGACCAGCGCCCCCTCGGACGCTCCGACCCACCCCGACCATCGTCCACGGCCTCCTTCGCCCGCACAATCACCGATCCGTCAAGACCCTCCCAACGATCACCTTGGGACAGAGCCTGCGACACCGCTCAGGCCTTCTGCGCTCTACGTCGGCAGTTACGGACGACCAGTATATAGTTGGCGCCCTAGCAGGCGGACCCTTAGAGTTTCTTCTCTTTGGATCCTCCCCTGCTAGGTCGGTCCCTCCGTGTATTTCCTGTAGTCTTATTCACGCTTTGGATCCTCCCCTGCTAGGCTTTCGTCGGAGTCTCCAGGGTTGCCCTTACATCTACCCCGCAAGCGGAGCTAGCGGGCCCAATGACCTCGTCTGTTCTGTTCCGGGTGCGCGTTCTCAGAAGAGACCTTGCACAGCCCAACCCAAAGTCTGACAGTATCTAGATTTGTATTTGATTGTTTTCAGGAAAGAGACATAATGTGAGTGTGTGTCCTTTGGAGACCAACTGAGGTTGCATGACAGGGGTCTTATGCGAGTTTCTTCAAATGGTGGAGGGCAAGATATGGGCCATGGCAGGAGGATTAATGCTTACGACCCTAGCGGGTGGCGGTCAGATTTTATCATCTGCTTGCTATTTATTATCGATATTTGTTTCCAGCCTATACATCTAGACGCGCCTCCGTTGATGCCGCTATTGTGTCTGACGTCCAAGATCTTAGTTTCAATTGGTCATGAGGAGTTCTAGCAGATAAACAATGAGGTTGGTACATTTACAATTGCTCAACAGTGGTTGACCTCGGTTGGTGCATATGTAGACAAGTGTATGTCCCATTCGATCTTGCTCAATATCACAAATTACTGTAATACCTATAGGGGAGTTAGAGTTGAACACTATAGTAGTGATAGTTTTCACTGTCAACTAGTACAGAACGAAGAACATATCCTTCAACTTAAATGAACTAGTTGTGTTATTGAACTCTGTGTATGATTCTCCCAAGAAGGACTTCCCTGAACTTCAAGCTTTTCCATGGCACCATTACTATGCTCCCTGTACAGCAGAAAAGACATATGTAGTATGGTATTATGATCTATGGCGGCTGAAGTTATATTCAATCATTACCCTTGCAAAGATCATATATTAGCATAAGTCGCAAAGCAAGGTCCCTGTCTACGGCATATGAGCTGCAGGCCCCTAGTACATCAATGTATTTATAGTACGAGAAGTAACGGAAACGGAATAAGGGATAACAAAGTAAGTAACAAGATTAGAGTAAAGTAGAAGAGGAGTTGCATACAAGGAACAAGGCATAGATGATTGCATAGATCATAAGTTGGAGTAATTGGAAACGCTCAGTAAATGTTTATTGCATAAAAACCGAATACTAGAGATGGATATCGGAATCGAATGCAAGAGTAGGCATGGATACAACAGATCCAATCATCATCTTATTGTCCATTTTATCTCCTCCTTGTCTTATCTTATCAACCAGGACCAAAATAAAAGGTTTAAAGGGCAAAGAAAAAGGTTTCTTGAACCCAGAGTTTGACAAGATAGGCACAATGTTGGTAGCATGATATACCTTCCAAATAAGCTCTCTCCCAGCTTCATCTACTCATGTTAGCTGGAAATCCATGCTTATCTTTGAGAGCTGATAAAGATTAAATAACACTGATAAGTGAAGTGATGATATTTCAGTGCTATATTCACTTTGGGCTGGAGATGGACATGCTACTTAACTTAGCCTGGAGTAGTCAATATTGTGATTATATCATATGACACCCATGGCAAAGCCAACGGCAGTTGGAGAAGGGGGTCCAACAGGAGTTTGAAAGCAGATTTTTTTTGCTTTGTCTCAAACAAAGAAACCTTTGTATGCCTTTCCGCTCCCGTTGGGCCTCCCTTTGGCAAACTGCCATTGGGTTTGCACCCAGTGTGATGTTGATGAGCTCCCATGATCAATCAATAGTACTTCAATCATATATTTATCTTGAGTAGTTATGAAGATAGAGGCCTATCAGGTATATATCAGCTAGTGATTAGCCAGTGCTGGTACAACTATTTAGCTGCCACTACAGATTACTTAATGAAAGTTTTTTATATAGTCAAAATACATAACTTCGATTTGTGACCATCTGTAACATCTCTAATGATTGTCCTGTCAAATAGCACAAATCTCCTTTTAAGAAATTTGTCATGCTAATTACTTGATATAATCCTGGTAGTAGGACCAGCTAAACAGGCAAGCCTTTGGCCTTCCTGCTGTTCAGATTATTCAATGCTATTCCGAGTCCTTTCCTAGGTCTCGTTATATACTTTAGTTACTTATGGGTTTAAATTACTAATATATATTAAGTACTATTTATACCTGTATCCACGCTGACAAGTGCCAATATGGTTGACTTAGGTGATAAAAGGTCTTGAAAGTTTTGAAACATCTAAATTATTTATTCCTGTTTATTCAGTTATATAGGAACCCTAGATAGAGCCATGACTTGTCAGTGTTAACCTGGCACATCCCACCTGATAACTGGCAGTCAACTGTAGGCTACGCAGGTGCCTCTCAGGCTCCCGACCTATACAGCTAAGGAATACTGAAAGCTATTAGCTTGGACTCTGATACAGAAGCCCCAGAAAATGATAGTGAAATGGCACTAAACTAGGGATTAGAGACAACACTGTCTGGCATTTTAGTTGCAGACTGGTATAAGGTTGGCATGAGCAGGTCATGGGTGACTCTCCTTTGAAAGACTTTGTTGGAACTCCAGGCTCTCTACCTCCAAATTTGGCCTATCAATGAGCTCGGTAGTCATATCAGGGATTCACGCAAAAACAGGGGCCTGAAGCAGGACTTATTTGTGGGAAAACTGGCGCCAAATATGGTCAGCTGATTGGATTTAAATCAAGGCCATGGATTTCCGTGCATGTGACTTGGAAATTACCTTATTTGGCATTTTCTAAGTCACGTGCACCAAAATCAGGGCCCATGATTTGTGTAACAATCGGCCCTAGTTATTCACTGCGGGAGTTCAGGAATAAACAGCACCTATTTCGATCGATTATACACCTAAAATCAATGTATCAGAAAATAAATTTTTTTTGCACCTCTATTGTGCCAAAAAAGATGCACTGATATGGTGAATATGCCCTTATATAACATATATCAGGGCCCTGGATCATATAAGTGAACCTTTTTTGGCACAAATAGAGGTATAAAAAAATTATTTTTTTGGTACATTGATTTTAGCCATATAATCGATCGAAACGGGGGCTGTTTATTCCCGAACTCCTGCAGTGATTTGGGCCTCTATCTGCCACAAATAAGTCTAGCTTCGGGCCGCTTTTTTTCACCAAAACCCCGATGTGAGTACATTTATGAACTTGGTGCGGCCTCTTCCATATGCATCCCACAGTGTCGAGGTGCAGCCGTTGAAGAAAACGATATTTTTCGAGGCTCTGGCACGTAGCAGAGAAAAAGAATTTAACCGGATATATAATCTTCAGGGTAATTGATTACCAGGCAGAAGAATCAGAAAATCATTGTTTATTGTTTCGTAAATTGGAAGGGCATACAAGACTCAGAGCAATTGTACTAGAAAGTTTGTCCAGTAATTTTTGTGCTACTTCACATCATCTCGGGCTGCCCCACCTGACCACCCTTGGCTGCGGTCGGGGTAAACGTATGCCAACGGTCATTGAAGCGGACATCTGTTAGCATTGTCAGGATGAGATCTCAGAGGGCCTGTGAACATACCCAAGGGACGACCACCGTACATATAGTGCTGGAATTTGGCTATAATAAGTTGATCAGATAGGAACGAAAGTGAAGCTAACAGGACTGATTACCGATTGCAGTTTCCGCCTCACTGACTTGCGCAAACTGCACAACGCCGCAACCTTTGGACCGAGTTCCGTCAAACAAAATCTCCGCAAGCTCTACCTGTCCCGTCGTCTCGAAAAGCTCGACAAGGTCTTCGTTTGCAGTCGACCAAGGTAACTGATAACGCATGAGTAACGGAAAACGGATTGAGGGCCAAGGATACTGACATTCCGCACCATAATCTGCTGACTCGGTTCTTCCTGGAAGCCACCCCCTGCACCTCCTTGGCCTCCACCGAACCCAGCGTTGAATCCGCCGCCGCCGCCACTATACGAGTTTGCAGCTCCGCCATGATCAGGTCCGGTATAGTCAGCATAAATGTCTTGGTTGGAAAAGTCGCGGCCAGTGCTGCCACCAAAACCGCCTCCGCGACCACCGAATCCGCGACTGCCAAATCCACGTCCGCCTAGGCCACGTCCTCCAAGGCCACGAGCTCCACGTAGACCGCCACGGAATCCCCCACCGCCGGAAAGACCCGCATAACGGTCCTACCACCAGATTAGATATCACAGAAAACCCACAGCCAATAAACAGTCATTCATACCTCTCGAACTTCGAGGGTACGACCATACCAGTCTTGCCCGTGGTACATGTCTAAGCCAGTGGTTAGCTTTTTTGGCTGCAGATAAACCATATGATTTACTAATAGCGGCTTGAGCATCTTTTGCGGTCTCAAAGACAACAGTGCCCGAGCCTTTTGGCCGACCATCAGCACCAAGATTGATGTCGGCACGAATAATGTTGCCAGCCACACGGAAAAGATCTTTTAGGTCTTGCCAGCCAGCTTGATAGGGTAGCTATGTAGTGTTATGAGCAGGGATCGCCAAGAAAAGGGGAAATGCATACATTTCCAACATAGAGCTGGTTACCAGGATTCGATTGGCCCCCGCCGTAGAAGTTGTGAGACGGAGGCCGAGGTGGAGGAGCACTGTGAAGTCCCTGACCCGCCATAGCAGCCCCGATTTTTCCAGGAACGGGTGTAGCGCCAAAACGAGACTCAGCCTCGCGATCCTGTAACTAGTTAGTGACCTTGATTAAGCGTGTTGGCAGCCATGAACCTCGCGAATAAATACAGGGCGACCAAGCAGCGAAACCTCAGATAATTCACGAACGGCACGTTGAGCATCTTCTTGGGAGGCGAACTCGACAATTCTAAGCGCTTCATTAAATCAGTTCGACGCGGCAGAAAACATATGCTGACCCGCATCCTTTTGAAACCCCGGTAGGCGTAATGAGGACTTCGGCGAAGAGAACCTCTCCAGCTATCAATCAACCTCCAATCAATATCCTCTCCAACTCGACCATTTCCAAGAAAACACAGAAAAAACTCCCCCCGCGGCTTTGCCCCATCCGAGAAACAGAAACTTCTCTTCGTTTGCACGGCCACGACTGCACTAGAAGCCATACGAAAGGCAATTTTAAGAGCCAGCGTCGCTCCAGCAAAGCCCATCATCCGACACGCTGCCGTCTCCAAAACCAGCCAAAAGAAAAAACAACTGATAATCCCCCACCCACCTCCCCTCATGAATTCCATCAGATCGCGGTAGCGGACCTCGTAGCTGAGGTTGCCAACATAGACACGGTTTTCTCTCTTGCTGATCTTGCTGAACTCGACCGCTTCTTCGTGGTCGGCGTTCATTGGCCCACCAAGCGAGCGGGCAAAGGAGCCGCCCCCACCCCGGCTGCGAGACCGAGAGCGACTCCTTGACCTGCTGCGAGAACGTGACCGTTTGCCGCCACGTCTTCTTGGTGAAGCAGAACGACGACGAGAGCGAGAGCGTGACCGGGAGCGCTTTCGACGCTAAGTGAGAGCCTCAGTTGCCAGTGTAGTGGACCCATGAAAAAGATTCTGACATCTCCTCTGCCCTCAGGCTCCCAGTGGTCTGAACGACGGCTGCGGCCAGAACCTGAACATACCAAGTCATTTTCTGAGATGAAAATAGGATAATTACGCACGCTTACTATCCCTATCGCGGTCTCTGTCTCTGTCTCGGTCTCTATCACGCTCACGGTCGCGCTCGCGATCTCTGTCCTTGTCGCGGTCATAGTCACGGTCCTTTCGACTACTCCCGTTATCTCTGTCCCGTGGCTTCTCGTCGACAAGGTCGAGGTTTGTCGCGTCTTCTTTGGTCTTCATGTCCACGTCCATGGTCAACGCAAACGATGACGAAGAAGAAGAGAATTTTTGATGACAAAGCTCGTGACAGTCACATACTACTACATCTGATTACTCGACTTATTCTACCTCCGCAAGACTCAAGCAAGTCTACAATATCCTCAGTCCATCGAAAGCCAGTATGACATCCCTGCCAGCAGGAAGACAACCCGCCATATCGAAACTTGCAGAGCCGAAGCATCATTTTTCCTGGCAATGGTGGTGGTCCCATTCACGCTGTAGACGCGCACCGAAGCAACGTCAAAATAAGCATTGTTGTATACGCTGCCATTTCCAACGACATAGTCCGTATAGCATGTTCCTGGACAGGTTTGTGCAAAGACAGCAGGCGCTCCAGCCGCGTCTACCAACCTTTTAGTATGTAAGCCTGGAAATTGACTTGCACCTACGCTTACCTCCACACAGAGTGATGTCAAAAATAAGGTTCTGCGACTTGAAAAATGTATCGACGGCACAGCCGCCCGTGGGCCAATTTGCCACGGGAGTCCCGAGGTCACTGGTAGAGAAAGAAGAAGCGTTGGAAGAGAATGATTTAGGTACACTTGCGCGGCTGAAAAACCAGACTGAAATTCCGGATTCAGCATATTCAGTCACGAATATACCACCCTGGGCTGCTGCAAATTTGGCGCCATAGCTCGAGTCGTTGGGATCCATGACACTGCATCCAGCATTCGAGTTGTCGAGATGCGAGCAGTCAGTCGAGTTTACCACTGTTGATGTTTGGACTGGCGAGATTTGATTACAACCTGGCTCTGTGTGGAGCGTCATTTGGTTGTGAAGTTCGCTGTTCCAGTGCTCGAATGTATCGATCTCCCCACCAATCGGCCAGTTGGGTGCTTGCGACCAAAAAGCAGGCCAGACAGAACACTAATAAGTATCGTCAGTATCAATTGCCAAACCAACAACGAGGCCTACACCAAAAGGCACATGATACATATCCGCAACCCAAACACTTCCAACTTCGAACTCGTCCTTGCTGGAGATTCTGACCGTGTTGCGCTTGTCATTGAAGAGGACAGTGGATGTGTTGTCGACTTTGATGATCGCACGATTAGTCGAGGGGTCAACATATGCGAGCCTTGACGAGGTTGCGACGTCTTTCGTCACGAATATGGTATCTCCGTTAGTTAGATTGTCAACTGGGTGTGTGGATAGTTAGAAACGCGTTGAGAGACACCTGCCATAACGCACAATGTCCATAGAAGTCCCATTCGTCAAAAAACGTTGACCCAGCATATTCTTTGACTAGACTGTAGCTGGTCCCTGCGAGAGAGAAAGGGATTAGGGCGGCGACAGATAGTAGTGAGAGCGGTGTCGAAGGCATTGTGAGGGAAGAAAGTGAGCAATTTTGGCGCTGACTCGTCGCTATATAAGCCTTAAGGAGCGGATGGTTTGCCTGATGAAAGTGGGAACTTGAATTTGACAGAAGGCCGTGAACCGGCACTGGATGTTAGCAGAGGACGCAGCGCAGCTGTGTCTATGAGAGGTGAAGTCAAGCGCGTTGGAAGCTAGTAACGAGAGGCTCCACCGCCGTTGCTGACAAGAGAACAATCAAGTTGCTTCGCCTTCTCCACTCACTGGCGTTCGACACGTGCAATATGCGTATTTTTGTCCATGTTAAAATTAGCACAGGTCCGGGCAGGATTTTTCCTGTTGTTGGAACTTCTTGGATCGATTCCTGCCGGTAGTTGAAGGGATGGCTTTGCGGTTTGAATGAGGCGTTCTAACTAGTCCGAGTCGTCCAGTTGTCAATGGGCAGTCTTGGTCCATTGTCGAGCCTCAGACGGAGCAAAGGAGTTGTGAGCCCGAAACGAAAAGTCGCTCATCGAGATTTAAAGAGACAAAGCCAACTACATTAGCTTACATTGGTCACATAAGTAACATTCACGTTTTGGGTATTTACTGACGACTCGCGTCAGCTGCTCATGCTGGATTTGCGCACATCTCATGGCCAGCTTGATGTGTTGTCTTTTTCTTTTTCTGTGCCTTCGGGAGCCACAGGTTGATGTAAACTCAACAGTTCTTCTCATATGGACAAAGTTGTGGGATCTACTCCTCATCATCCTCAAACTCATCGTCAACTTCGTCGTCAAATCCGAAGTCCTCGTCGTCATGATCATCCTCCCCATCGTCACGTTTCTGGCGAGCGATGAGTTGGGCCAGTTTGTCTGGAGAGTGCATATATTAGTGATGGCTCCTCTCTACCAGCCTGCTCACCATTCCAGTTGGTCGAGACAGCAGGGCAGCCGACGCCAGGGCCCCGCAGGTTCTGGAGGGACGAAATTTGCGTCTGGAGACGGGTGATCTGCGAGCGGATGGAGTTGTCGCTCGGGAATGGCGCGGGGACAGCGGGGTTGTGGATATCATGGCCGGCCTTCACGTTGGCATTGAGGGACTGAAGCCAGCGTCAGGGAGTGCAATGGCAGAAACGTTTCGCAGTCAAACATACGTTGATAAAGTCAGCGCGAGTGGGTGGGCAAGAGCAAGGGATCTTGATTCCTCTGAGCCCAGAGCAGTCGCCGGTGCCGGTGGGGTTCTTTCCGCTGTAAAAACAATTGTCAGGAATGAGTGCCGCAGGGCAACACGAAGTGGGGACAAACCGGGCAACACCAAAGTCGAGAACCTGACTTGGGTTGACACCGCGCTTAACGGGGGCCATGGGGGTGGCAAAGACGGAGGTGGCGGCAGCCAGGAAGACGGTAGACATGAGCGTGAACTTCATGGTGATGAATTGTGGGTTGTAGAAGACTAGCTTTCGAGGAGACTGTTGTAAAGGGTACGCGCGGCGCAACGGCAAGAGCACGGAGGACGAAGAGAGACAAAAGAAAGCGAGAAGAAAGAGAATGGGGAGATAGAGCACACAGAAGGGCCATTTTTATACGCTTCGATTGCGCTTCGAAGTTGCCGCCCGTGTTCAATGCAATCTGAAACAGTCGGAACTTCGGGAATCGTTTGATGCTTTCTGTGATATGGCTTGGCAAACGCGGGGATCTTCGTGTTCATCTTCGTCTAAACCAATCCTTGCTTTGCTTTATTTTAGATCTTGGAGATTCGACGTATTGGGGGAAGGTCGTCTCTGGTAAATCTGCGCTGAACTTCGCTTTCAGAGAGGACGCAATCAGCAGGTGTTTCCCAAGTGTTTCGGAAAGTGCAGCCCATCTAGCTGATCAACCTCCGACTCAATTGCGCGCGGATCAATTCGACGGGTGAAGACACAGCAACCAGTTGGCAACGAGCGCCGTTCCTGTCACTTCGCGGCGAGTCAGTAGCGAGAAGTAGCGAGAGAGTACATTTGTTCCATTTCCTTGCTCATACACCAGCTTGTTGATATCTTGATTAGTGCTCGTAAAGGCTTTAGTATTCTAGTTTATCGTCCTCCAATCTAGAAAAATGAACTACACTGCATCGCGTTGCAAGTCAAACATAGTGCAATGTCCAAGCAGTTGAGTCAAAGAAAAGCGTGGACACGCGTCGCGAATGAAGGCGCTCTGGCGGATCATCAGTGCTGGTCATAGTGGGAGAACCTGCTCACCTCCATAAGCTGTTTGTAGTCCTTCTCCGAATGAAAACACAGTTGAACAAAGTCATGCAACATCTGGGAGGGGGCGCGGGATGCAGCGGCCAGCTCCAAGACGAGAGAGCCAAGTGCTCGTCTGTCCCTGTAACGATTGGTGCATGAAAAAAAAAGACGGCAGAAAGGGACACACTTTTCAATGTAGAGTCCGCGCTTGTGGTCTGTGAGGTTGGGAGAAAGCTTCACGGCGCTCGAAAAGTTGGCTTTATCATGGTTCCAGCCAGGTCTCATGAAGAAATAGCAGACTCACTGATTTTCACAAATCCATCACTGTTGATGAGAACATTCTTGGAGGCCAAGTTCCCCATCGCAACATTGTGGCTTTGCAGGTGGTTAAGAGCGCCCAGAATCTGAATTGACTTCAGTTTGAGTTAAGTAATAACAACACAAACCCAACCCACATCCTTAGCACAGCCAGCGATGACCCGATCCGACAAACGCAAGCCAGCACCAATAAGATTTATAAGACTTGCCAGTGACCGATCCATGAGCTCCATATGAATCCAGATAACATCTTCGACCGTGTCGATGTAAACCGAATCGACACGTAGTACTGACTCGGCTGGGGGCACGTGCTCCATAACCTGTAGCTCGTGTACCAATTCACCGAGCTTCGTGTTCGTTCCCCCAGGAAGAATTGGGACAGTCTTGATGGCAGAGAAACGGGTTATGACATCTCCATCGTCAAGTCCAGCGTGAGCCTCATATACGACAGAGCCAGCAAAACCCTCAGCGATTTCGCGAAGGTGGACAAAGTGCTCCCGTGGATTGATGTTTCGGTCAATGAACTTGTTTAGAGGAGCAATGACAGACGATGCCCATCCATCATAGTCACCTCCCGCTTGGTCGCATGAACTTGACATGCTTGCGCTATCGCTGGTGTAGATGGACGATGGTTCTTCACATTCGTCCATACTAATCGTGTCCGAGAAATCTCTCTCAACGACGCGTTCGTGCATAGCGAGTTCGAGCACGATTCCTAATATGGTGGGCCTATCCGCATGGTTGTGCGACCATGACTGCTGCATGATTTCCCAAACGTAGTCGGGGATGGCAGCGTCATCGGGCTTGCTCGGCCGAACCCCAGCCATGACCTGTAAGATAACGGGGGCATCATGCAATATCTCTGCGTGGAAAGGAGGGAAACCCGTGTATAGCTGATGATGTGCTTCAGCCTCATTGCGTAGTTAATGGTCCACAATTACCTCCAAACACACGCAAGCAAATGCATAGATGTCGCTTGCAGTCGTCTTGGCGAATTTTTCGAGACCACAGGCGGTTGGGTTCAAAATCTCCGGCGCCATCCATCGAACACTGCCCGCTCCATGTTGCGTCTGAGTGGTGGCATCTGAGAGTACTGTTAGGCCAAAGTCCGTGAGACAAGCATGACCGTCGTCATCGATCAAGATGTTTGACTACAATCCATTTCAATATTCGTTTGTAAATCGTAACATGATACTTACGCCACGCAGGTCGCCATGAACAACATTTTGGTCATGCAAAAAGGCTAGCCCTTGTGCAATTTCGCGAATCTGGAGCAAGTCAGGCAATGAAGAGGACGATTGCTGGAAACAAACCAAACGATCGATGACCACGCGTCGGCTGGCGCCATGGAAAGTCTTCAGGTAGTTGATCACAGTGCCATGACGCATCCACGGAGAAACAAGGCAGAGCGACGTCGGGAAACTTTCAGTATCAATTCCTATGAGCGGAACGACAAATGGATGGCGGAGTCGTTGCCAAACGAGTGCTTCGCGACAAAATTTCTGGGTAAACTTGTAACCAGTGAAATATTAGCTTGAGAGAATAATTCTAACCTTGCGAATATCCCGCTGGTCACTGCCCTGGAACCTCCGCATGTGTTTGAGTGCGACTGGTTTTCCTTGGTAAATAGCACGGAATACGTCGCCGAATCCACCACAAAAGGTCGCATGCTCATCCCGCTGTTCGACACCGGAGATAATGAGTGCGGTTGGAAGCTTGTCAGCAATGCGTGCAAGCTTGCTAATCAGGCGTCGCGCGCGACTATTAGCATCGCGTTTATGGAGGAGAGCGTGATCGAGGGTCTGATCGATCGGTTTTAATTTATTGGAAAGGCTTTGGACTCGAGAACGCACAAATTGGACGACGTCGAGGAATGATTGAGCGGATTCGTCTTCTAACGACAGCACCGCTTGCTCGTCAGTACTTGAATACAGCACATCCAAGAGTCGGTTGGTGATGTCATCATGATCGCTCTTCAAGGCAGCCATCAATTGTCTATCCTCTGACACGTTTAGGTCCATTGAAATCTGGTCGATGTCAATGACATCCGCAGGGTATCACAACAAGGACTGGCAGGCTACCTGGAGTAAGAGTTGCCTGTACTGCAGCGCAAAAACCAACGAGTTCATGGGATTGAGCTGCGATATGGCTTTGCTGAATGAGCTCAGCTTGATAAGTGACGCAGATTCGTCGTTGTTCCATGCCACATCCTTCAGATATACCAAGGTATTCTACTCGGTAGACATAAGCTTACAAAGAAAGCAAGGAAGAGACATACCGCATAGATGGCGCTATTGAGCTTTGAGTTCTCTCGATCTCCTCTATGAAGGTTTGAAGTGGGTGTGGTGGAAAGTATGCCGACCTCAGGCTTGCTCGCCATTGAATAATTGTCCGTTTCGCCAAAAGCTAACGGATTACTTTAGGGCTACACTATAGAGAGTGAGGAGAAAACACACGCTTCCTCCTTGTCGCAGCAATTTGTTTTGCTTTTCCCGCCGTTTTCGAAGGTACTGGCGAGGGCTTCAGTCGCGGAACCCGACGTGGTTTCGACGGAGTCTTCGGAGCGGGGTTCTCTTCTGCAACACCCGCTCGCCATTGTTCTACTGGCGAGAGTGCTTGAACGTCCATAATCATGGGTTCATGATACATGTGCGCCGTCTCGCTGTGCCACGACTGGCGAGATCGCAAGCTCGAAGCCGAATTGGAGTTAAAAGCACCTGCATTGGCCCTCGTAGACCAGGTTCCCGAGCTTCCTTTTGAAGAATGAACATCGACCCTCGGAGATGCAAGCGCAGAGCGACCAGCGTTAACAACAGACGGCCAAATATCCTGTGCTTGTACCTCTTCCAAGGTAGGACTGTGAGCAGGTGAGATGTCCAGAATGAAATCGTCCGTGCTGGCGTATGATAGTTGGTCGGATTGACGCCGACGGACAGGCGCTGAGTTGCTGCTGCTGCTGCTGCTCCTATTACTCACTCGTCGAGATGGCGAGTAGACCCAAGAACCACGCAAAGAAGCATTGTTAGTTTCCGTGGCGAATTCATATGAAGGTGGTGGGGCGTCCCATTCGAGTATCTGCAGAGGCGTTCGTGAGGGAGGAAAACGTCCATCGGCCATAGGAAGAGCGCCACGATTGCTAGATTTTGTGGAAGTTACCACCGCAGTCGCAGGAGGGCGAAGGATAGCATCATGGGCATTATAAGGAGATCCCTTCAACTCATTAGCTTGAAGTTTTAAGAATGATACCGCCTACCTGCTCGGGCTCCTCCACAGGCTTTACGGATAACCAAAGCCGCCGGAAAGGTTCCTCTGTTCCTAGATTAGTTCGAAACCTTCTCTATGGATGCTAACTCACTCGTCGGGTTGTTCCAGACAGCATCTCCCAACACTCGTAAAACTCGATGGCGCACAACTGGGCTGGTTCGGGGCGACACCAGTAATTCCGCAACGGAGTCAAGAAAGTCGGGGGCGGCTGATTGAGAGATGAATGCAGTGGAAGAGTTGCGCAACAGGATAGCCCAAAGCTAAGAGAAATGAGTGATTCTATCGATGGTAACGAGGAATGGAAGGCTGACACGTGCGGCAGAGAGTTGAGCGTCTGCAGTCCCACATCTACAAGAATTTAGTCGAGTAAGACGAGGAGAGCAAACGATATCACTTGAATTCGTGCATCAAAGCCTTCACTGCTTCACGAGCAGCAGTGTCGGTTGAAGCTCGATCACACATATCAAGCACAAGTGGCCGGTCTTCGGAACCCATGGAGGCGAGAAACCGAATTCGATGAACAAGCTCGTGAATGTCGCTGTAGTTGGCCACGGTCTGGACTGGTGCCCATGTTTGGGCGGATGCTGGCTGTGGTGGTGCGCCGCCATTCTAGTGGATGGTAAAGCAGGAGTGGTAGAAGGCGATAAGTAACGCACGGATGGTCCAGTCTGGAGAAAGGGAGTGGGCCGGAAGTTGACTCGCGCGTTGTCTCGCCCGAACAAGCGACGCATTCTCAACTTGCAAGAGAGGCGGGAAAGCCGCAGGCAATGGTCACCTACACAGTCGGTCAGTTATCTATTGCAAAAGCATAGCCAGTCATACCATGTCAACGGAATCTTCTCTGTCGAGCAGATGACCGCAACAGAAACCGGAAGAAGTTGACCGGCATCGCTCTGGGGCCAACTGAGTTCGGCCGTCGTTTAGCGAGCCCTGGACGCAGCTTCCCACCTGATTCATGTCCGCTCAACAGCAATATGCCATACCCAGATTGGTTCCCAACGAATGTAGTCTAATTGAGCGCTATGTTGAATTGAGCGATTAGCAAAGAGTGACTGCTTGTTCAATGCTCAACTTGTTCAGCTTCCGCAGCTTGCTCTCATGTTGAGGGCAATTATAGAAGCAGCCACATGCGAAAACCAAAAGAAGATTGCAGGAACCCGCTCGCGTGGAACTTCGGAAGAGGTCTTGAGGAAGAATCATGATCCTGTACACGTGACTACACCCATTTCTCCTCCAACCACCACGAACTCCGGTTCTGACGCGTCATATTGACGATATTGCAACTTGTGCCTTCACGGTAAAACTGTGTGACAGTTTCAAGTAGCTTTCCATGCAACAAAATGGAGGACTCCACCATGAACGACTTTTACACTATCCTTGCCGAATCTGCTGCGCCCGGGTTTGAAAGACAAGCACGGTCGCTTCTTGTCGAAGAGGAAGCCAAACTCGCTCGGATAGAATCGCAGCTTAAAATGCTTTTATGGACCCGCGACCGTCAACGAGCCCGAATTGCTGCACTGAAATACGTTGTTTCGCCTGTGCGAATGCTACCTGCCGACGTCCTTCTCGTTATCTTCAAACAGGCTTTTTGGCTGGGACTCGGATCGTTCGAACCCCCTTCCCGACTGGTCCTCCGCCTGGCGTCTGTCTGCGCATATTGGCGCCAATTGGTCATCAGCTCGCCACGTTTATGGGCCTGGGCTATGAAACTCAATGTTTCGAACATATCACCATGGTACACAGAAGTTACAAAGACAGTATTCCAGCGGTCTTCGCCACACCCGTTGTCCATTACCATGACTTGTAGGGACCATAAAAAACCGGTCTCTGCCACAGTGGTGAAGACGGTTTTATCCTTTGCCCATCGCTGGTCTCGTATAAATGTCAACTTCGATCTCACCCCTTTTCTCAATGCCGCACCGCGGCCTACCTTGCTTGAACACTTGACTTTCGCAAAACTTGCCTTGAGTCAGGGTGCCAAAGGCAAAGAATCCGACATATTTCTACACGCACCCAAATTATTCGATCTATCGATCTCCATTGGCCGTCTTGCAAAACTGCCACTTCCCTGGTCGCAGCTCACCAAACTCGAACTAACAACGTATCGGCCGTTTACGTCGTCCGAGTTTCTTGCCACAATAGAGCAATGCACCTCCGTCAGCGATCTTCAAGTTGATAGCGATGGCTGGGAACAAGGCGATGACATTTCGATTCCGCCCCATTTCGTCTCTCTACCTCGGCTTCGCAACCTGAACTTGAGGATGTCTGGGAATCTCGACCCTTTTTTCGCTCATTTCACATTTCCCGCTCTATCGAAGCTCGATGTTTATCTCGATTGGTCTGTATCCTTTGAAAACTCACTAAGAGGACCATTCTCAGCGTTCCTTGGGCGTTGTACTGCACTTGAGGAGCTGGAAATCTTCGGTTCTGAAATGAACAGCGAGACCTTGGATGACATTCTGCTCAATATTCCGTCAGTCGTCGATCTCCAGCTCATCTGTTGTTTTGCTTGTGTCGACAATGCTTTTTTTGAGCGGCTCACCTACCGAGAAATGGATGCCAACCCACCGGCGCCCCGACTTGAAGCAATAAATCTCGAGAATGTAGGGGACTGCTACGACGAGGACGTGGTCGTCGCTATGGTGCGCTCTCGCTGGTGGAAGGACGAGGTTTACAATGCATTGCCGACTCCGCCCGGAGTTGCCCGATGGAAAAACATCTCCATCTCCGCTAATGACACCGATGGAGCAGAGCTTTCAGACGAATTCAAAGCGGTCATGCAGGACATATGCGCCGAGGGCTTAAACTTCGATGTTTACACATATACGCGACCAAGCGGCTAGAGTACACAATGGTCGGGAGCGTGACGAACACATAGCTTGTCGTTTTTCTCTGAGAGAGTGAGAGTCAACTGGTTTGTTAACCTTTTGACGAAACCTTGCCAACGTTGTGGCTCCCATTCCCCAAAAACCGACTCTAGCGCTTCTAATCCCCCACCTCAGCTCCCCAGTCCAGTCCAGCATCGCTCGCTCCGCAGCTGGTTTGTTTGTATTACTGGGACTTGATTCACGCCAATTATCCTCGCTCGCTAAAAAAGCTATCTCGAAATCTGAGTGCGGTTCATTGGGAGAAGATTCGTTTTTAAGAAGAGAATTGAATTTGTCATTAGTATATATTTTTTGACCACCGTGGAGGGTGTTCGCTAGAACCTAAACTTCTCCCCGATAATTTCTTCCGTCGCTGCCCAGAGACTCGCTGTAATGGCCTACAGTTTCACAGTCAGCTGCCATTTTACATTGTTTGCAGAAAAAAAGGACGAGCCGGGTTGGTACTATGAGCCGCAGCCATCTCGTTCGCAACTGTTGAGTCGACGAGGTACGCTCCCGGTGTTCCGACAAGACGCGGGTCAAAGGCAGCAGCGACGGTCCTACAACTCGAATTTAACGAGCCAATGCTTAGTTGAAGACTTATGACTTACGTTGCTGCACCTTGGGGAATCGTTTTCCACCGAAAGTCCTTTGTGTTAGGCGTGCCGTCTGCGTTCAGCACCCCCAAACGCTGCATGATAGGAAGAACGTCGTCGCCGTGATTGATGTTGGTGAGAATAACTGCAGACAAGTTGAATAACATTAAAAGAGAAGAGAAAGAGTGAAGACCTCCAGGATGCACGCTGTAGCCTAGAATTTCGCCTTTCGAACGGCGGGAGAGCTCGACTGCTGTCGAAACGTTTGCCGATTTGGCTTGGAAGTAGGCGCCCTCGGGCCTCTTTTGGCGCCTTGAGAAAATCAAGGTTAACGCCGTTGCCGACTGTGTGAGCAAGAATACGACACGTGGCGAATAGGTAGCTGATGCTGCAGCCAAAAGCTTCCGCTTGAGCAGGCTGGTGAGCAGGAAAGGCCCGACGTGGTTTGTTGCAAGCTGCATTTCGAGATTGTCGACGGTAATTTTGAACCCGCGAAGGGCGGCAGCGGCGTTGTGGATGAGGACATGGATTGGTTCAGTGTATCGGCTGCCTTGCGAACCGCTTCTAGCGAAGAGAGATCGAGGATAAGACGTCTGACGTTTGAGGTTGGTGTCTCCTTCTTGATTGCTTCTTCTGAAGCCTCAATCTGGGCCGTATGATAAGGATACATAGTTGAGTGGAGTTCAAGTCGCACCTTTCTTCATTATAGCCTGTGATAACAACGAGGTTTGCATATTTTGCTATGACCCTCGCTGCTTCGAAACCGATCCCGTTCACAGAGGTCCCAGTAATAAGCACTGAAACGCAGTTTTCGTGAGTGAACATGCAGGCGGGCCGCCAGGTCCAAGCAAGTAAGGACGGTCACCATTCTTGCCATTGATTTCGTCTGCAAACGCAGTGGCGACGTCTTCCGCAGTAGTTGCAAATACGAACGAAGGATATGAGGACATGCTCCAAGTTTGGCACGCAGTAGAAGTGAGTTGGCTGGTAATGAGCTCTTACATTTTCAAGGGTTATATACCGAATTCCTGGTGTATCGAGAGCATTGAATCCTTGGGCCGCTGTCATCTCTTCGGGAGCCTTGGTACAATCGTTTCGGCGTCAGCAAACACAAAATCGGGGAGCTCGGGCTTATTGCATAACTCGAGCAGGTGGGCCGTTGAGTTGAAAGTTCGGAGGCAAGAAGCTGAGATCAGCTGCTTATCTCATCACATCATCTTTTCGATGGATTCACCTTTGCACCCTCCTCCCCGTGTAACCGCCCTCGCAAGCAAGCCGCTCACCACCAAAAGCGCACAGAAGCGGCTGGAGCTCTTTCTTGATGATTTCCAAGCCCGTTCGACCGCCTCGCAAAGCGGGACAACGACGGTGACGGTCCAAGTGGAGAAGTTGCAAAAGGCGTTGAAGGAAGAGAGAGAGGAAATGAAGAAAGCCAAGGCGTGGTGGGTTGCATGTTTTTATCGCGTTTGCGATTATATCGATGAAAACATTCAGAACAGTTAAAAACGAATGAGATGCTCGTAGAAGACTATTTGTCGCAGTCAGACTGTGAATTTGGTCTGAGAGGGTAACAGAATAATGGACTATATCATGTTCCTTATTATTTGACAACTAATTTACAGAATAAACAAGGATAACTACAATAGGGTCGGTAATCCTGCACGAGAGGAAAATGATATATGGTTGGGGTAATTTACAACAACCTGCGACCCAACAAACGACGCCTTGATGCCGATTTCTGGTGGCCGGTGGAAAGTAATGTTGATATTCTTCAACCTGCGAGCTTCTACAAATGCTATCACCGCTTTCTCCGATGTATGGGCCGAGTTGAGTTTGAAGGTATTCAGGTTGGGGCAGATATGAGGTTGGGTTAGGATTTCGATAACATGGTCCAAACTCGAGGCAGTTCTGACTGAAGATGGGGCCCAGGCCGCAGACCACAAAGTGCTCGAGTTTGAAAGAGGTTGGTCAACGAAGGGGGTGAGCTGAAGATGTTTGATCGTTGGGGGCAGAGCTTGCAACACGTCGATGACAAACGCGCCGGGGAACGGGTCTGGAGAGAGGATAAATGTTTCGAGTTCATTCGTGCCACGAAAGAAGCCCGATAAAGTCCCGATGTCAACTGTGAGCTCTGGATTGACCGAGCTGGCGACCAAGGCAAAACTGCGGAGTGAAGGGGCCCATAGGTTGTGTAGAAAAGCGAGAGAGGACGTGGAATACGCAATTCGCAAGGTCAAATTCTTCAGAGACGCGAGCTCAACTATGTCTGCGGAATGTGTGACGCCCATTCCGATTGCAAAAGCACAAGACACAAGCCGTGAACATTTGGATAGAGCCACGAGCACTTCGCCTGCATCGGTGTGAGTGCCATCGACGTCTATTTCAGTGAGATTTTCCCAAATCAGCGGGAGACGTCCCAGCAAGATGCCTAACGCTGAGATGTCAAACCTCGATAGCTGAGGCCCACCGAGAAGGTTCAGACAGCAAAGTCGATCCCAATTGTCGCCGAATTGGTGGTACCCCATGCCTTCATCCACCAAACATAGTGTCTTGAGCAGCGGAACATCTGATGGCGAGACTTGTTTCAGGGCAGTTAGGTTGGCTTTAGGCATGATAAATTTCAAGTCAGACCAGCGCGACGAGAAGGGCAACAAGGCCTTGAGGAATCGGAAGACGGTGCCCTGTTCGAGTTCATGCGGCAAAGCTTCCGCACTGGGGTTTCCTGGGCCGTATAAGGAGATCGAAAGTGGGCAACATCCAGATCGAGTCAGCCAAACGCTAGCAGCATCCAGCCATTGCTGGGCCTTGTACCGGGTACATGAGCTGCTTGGGGAAGCGCCAGATGTGGAAGAAGGGTCCACGAAATGTAGTTTTGACCAAAGAAATGGCGTGGAATGTGTGATTTCTCTCCAGTAACTGCAGACACGTCCGAGAACCAGTGGCGCTTCGCTGGCATTCAGAGCGCAGTTTCGGTCCCCGGGCAAACAAGAAATGAAGATTTCTTGGAGGATGTCGAGCGGGAGACGGCGGATGGGAGAGAGAAGCGCTTTGTGAGCGGCCACATATGTTAAAATCTCATTCCGTCGCTCTATGACTTTGTCAATCGCCCGTCGCATTTCCTGGACCCGTGCATCCAAAGCGTCTAACTGCTGACACGGTATGATAAGGAGCTCTTGAATTTCCTGAACCTCGTCGTCCGTGGGGCAATAGTTGGTTTCGAGCTTGCAGGCGAATGGGGAGTTCATGGCCGTCGGGCCCAAGGAAGGCAAAGCTCAGGGCGATAACGACAGGCGGCGGGGATCGCTTGCAGACGCAATATAAGCTTCTTGTCCTCCATGGGGACCTATCATATGTCGGACGTAAGTCTCAGGACCGGCGTTGAGTGCGCGCTGAGGATTCTGATACCATGACTATGAGCTTCCGGCTTCATTCACGGGTTGATTTTGTTTTGGATTGCGGATACTATGTATCTGTTTCAGTTTCGCCTCTTCAAAAGTGCACTGCGAAACAAAAAGAGTTTCAAGTATGATGTGACTAGTACTCTTGCTATGCTCTTTGGTAGTCTTTGGTCGGGCCGGCGATTTGTATATCAGCCCCTCATATGTAGGCTGATTTTTTGCAGTCTGACTGAGACAAGATTGACGTGGGCTTCTTCTCCCTCGAGTCTTATGACCACAACTCCTCTTCCCCTCAAATAATGGCGACAGAATGGTTTGAGAGTTATGTTCTTCATTTGCGAAGTTACCTGCACTCTCCTACTCCTCGCCGCTTCTACTGCTCTCGCGCGTAGAAACCGCTTCATCCTACCAGGGGCAACGTGGTATGATACGTCTGGGGCTGTCCTCAGTGCATGCGGGTGGAATTGTGCATAGCGAGGGCGCATACTATTGGTTTGGTCAGAATGAAGTGCAGGGAATTAACTAGCATCAACGTCTACTCATCGACAGACTTGCTCAACTGGGATTTCTGTGGACAGGCCCTCTCTCCGGGACCGAGATCGACCCGGGGCGTGTTACGGAGCGGCCGAGAGTAGTATTCGTATTCAGCGAGAAGCTGGGCGAGTGGGTCTTCTGGTTCCATTCCGACGACTCGACGCATGGGCTTTTACGCCAGGGAATCGCCATTAGTCCAAATATTACGGGTATGCCACCATCTTCAAATTCTCTCCTTCTCTTTCCAATGAAATTAAGGTCCATACACATTCCAAGGCGCGTCTAGTCCACTTGGAGGTACCAGTCAAGGTCGTCAAAACTGGGTTTCTCATGGCCACCCTGACAATCGGGGACGCACTAGTAAATGTGCGTTGACCAATCAACACCGCGGTTCATGGTCTTGATTATATTGACCAGATTCACCGTCTATGGATCATCTGGAATCGCAAGTTTGCTGTCCTAATCTTCCCTCTTTCAACTCTTCTGGACCTCACTGGCAAGTGATACATTTCTGCCACCACTTTCTTCTCACCTCTCTTCAGTCTATGGCGTTGGGATCACTTACCAGTTCACCCAGTATAAACCTGGACAAAACATTTTCTTGTCGGAGGCCGGTCGCTGGATAACTAGCGATGCATACGAAAGCGTGAAGACAGCATCGTCGCAACTTCCATCATATGTACATGTGCTAAACCCGACTCGGAGCTCGTGCGAATATTCACAGTACTGGTCAGCCCTTGATCTGCTTTCAGTATCCATCTTTTTTGACTCTCGTCCAGGTTTCTGGAACCCGGCGTTCGTCAGTCGGACCGTGCCGTGTATTAATCCAATACAATCCATTACTTGGCGTATCTTGAAGTCCAGTCGTGCGATCAAACCATTTGTGGGCGATACCAGTAACCTCATGGTGCTTTAATTCAATGACGGATCCTTCTTTGTTGCTGATAACTCACAGTCTGGAATAATCGTCGAATGAGTTCCGATCTTGAACTGCCCTCGTTTCATAGCTCTTTAATCAGAACCTGGAGTCTGTTCTTCTTCAAGTTCGTCACCGACCAGTCGGGGTCCAATCTGCAGTTCCTTGCCGTGGACTGCTAGCCGGTCATGAGCGGGATCTCGTGCATGCTCATACATGTCCGCCGGCCGTTGGCCGGCCGCCGTGTTAGTCTTGGCTGGGCGCACAACGGAAAGCACTGGTAACCTCAAGTCGACAGGGGTCTTATTGTCCGGAATACAGTCCCCTGGCATCACCATCAATATTCCAAGGGCTGTTTACGCCACGAGGGATTACGGTCTCCCTCTCGACGAGCTAGATGGCAGACAGAGTAAATTGAGTGTTTGAGTTTCGAAGTTACTTATTTTGTCTATACATCTTTGCTCAACAGGTTTGTTTGTTTGTTTGTAATAGGTTTGTTTACGTCGGGTTGTAATGTTATTGATCATGAGCTTGTGATTATGTAATCACGCTTGCGAATTCTGAAGGTGCTCCCGAATCCAAGCTATCGTTGCTTCAACAGCGCCATCTTGCCCAGACTTGACTTTGGAATCGGACTAGTATGAGAATCAGGATTCCGTGCTTATCATCTGGCTGGGCCGTACCAAGTCGCCTTTCGTCAAAAAGCCATGTGAGCATCCCTAGTAAATAGAATCAGCTCCTCCTCCCTCAAGATTCATCCGAAAACAGCTCACCTCCCAGTACGTCCTCTTGTAGCCCGGCGCATACTTCCCCGCGCCCAGCTTCTCGTCCGCGATGCTTTGCCACTCTTGGGGGAAATGCGGGTCGAACTCGCAGGAGTTGATCAGCAGCGGCACATTGGAGGCGGCCACCAACGCGTCAATGTCGAAGGGGATAAGAAGTTGGGATGGGTGCGAGATGACGGCCACTTGGATGGCATTTTCCAGTGCAAGGTCCACCACGTACCGCGCTATGAGCGGAGATCATTACAAGAACAACGAAGCACGAAGGAGTACAGACCGCCAAAGCAATATCCAGTGGCAGCAAACACAGTGTAACCCTCATTCTTGAGTCCCGCGATCACCTTATCGAGGGGGGGACGTGTTTGCGTCACGGTATGTGCAGCCTTCCAGGCGTTGACATTGAACGATGTCTGGAATCAATGTAGGAGCACATGGATCACTTGAAGATGTTTTTACCGGTGGAGCTTGATCGACAGACCCAGGGCGAGGGTCTCCGTTCAGATAATCAGGCATGTACACCTAGGAAGAACATCCAACGGAGAAATAATGAGAGCCTTAGACTCACGTTGTAGCCTGAATCAGTCAAACGATCCGCCTTGAGCGTTTTGTTGAATATCTCTAGCTAAGCAGTTGCATTTTAGAGAGAACGCACCAAGAGCTGTTTTTATCCCGCTGAGACGACAAGGGTATTGTGAATGCAATTTTACCTGATTATTCACGAGCTGCATCCCAAAGACGTCTGGGGATTGCTTTGAGAATCTTATTGAAATGTATGATCCACTGACCAGGAAGGTAGATGATTGCGTTCGTGTCATGCTGTGATCCTACGCCTCCCAAAGGCATGGTACAATATGTTGGGACATCGTTAATGTTTTTGATGGTTCCTGTATTGAATGCTCCATAAATGGGGTGCGGGGAAGCTAGCGTACAAACCGTTTGGCTGTCCTTCGTGCAAACTTCCCGTGAAGCAGCACTCGTCTGAAGCCTCCATGTCGACAGTGTTGTCAGTTTCGGAGAGCCGATGTCACGCCATCATGATGTCAGTGTGACGTCGGTGGCAACTCCGATCAAATTCCGTCAAATATAGCAATGCGAAGTGTGGCGCAACATTGCCTCAATCTTCATAAACCATGTGTCTTGGATGCTGTTTCCCAACGCATTTGTCCCGCGCCACCAGAAATCGGTACGAGGAAGCTCCCATGTGCTCGTCAGCAGACAGTCGACCAAGTGCTCAAGCTCTTGGTGCCAGTGATGCGCCAGAGAATACCCAGATCTCACTGCCATATGCATTGTCGACCAACACTGCTGGACTTGGAGTCAAGTTAACCTCTGACTCAAGTTGTTCAATCAGTCTTCCTCCCAATAAACGGGTCGACGATGGAATTGCCATTGCCATTGCCACTCTTGGAGCCCTAGAATACTCGGCAACAGTGCTGCAATGTTCATGGATATCGTCACCAATCAGTTCAGTTATTATTATTTTGGAGACCATACAGGTAAGTCTTGGTTCTTATCTTGCATGTCTCCAGCCTGATGATAAGCTTTGATAGACTGTTCGAGATAGCAAAGATGCCTGTCGAAGGCTTGCATTGCGTGCAACTGAACTTGTTGTCTTTCTTGGTGAATGTATGAAGAGTCTAGACCCCAAGTCACCTCCTGCAAATTTTCTTCGTGATCTAGAACGATTTAAATGGTTTGGCATTGATATATTGTATGCTCATATACAGTATTGACCTATTTTAGTATTCTTTTGGAGATTACCATGTTTATGCAAAAATTACTACATGCAAAATGGTACAAGCACATTTTTCGATCTGCAAGCATACAGAGTGCAATCAAAGATATGAATGCTCAACTAGATGATGCTCGACATGCATTTCAGGTGAAATATTATATATATATAGTATCAGTATATATCTAAATGTTTCTTTTACCAGATATCAGTCCTCACACAAATATGTGTTGCAGTTGCTCAGCATTTACCAGTAAAAATAATTACACAAGATAATATACGGGATACTTCCGGGGTATGCTATATGATTATTTACTTTCTACAAAGAGTTGATTCTCTCTCTCTCTCTCAGTTACAACTTATCTACCAGGATGAGATATCACTGGATAGTGAATGCACAGAAATTAGAAACACAACCTACCACTCATTTGAGGCATCATGGAAAGGCAAGGCTGTCATTATCAGGCAGTATGTTGGGGGGAAAGACTATCAAACCAAGGCTAGTATTTGTGTTGTTCAACTTTCTAGAATCTGATACTTCTATATACAACAATAGAACATAATTAATGATCTCAAATGGCAAGGCCAAACTTGGTTTGTTATTTCTGCTATTGTTTTTTATAAGTGATCTTATGATTTGAAAGGCATACAAATCTTCCCAAGATTATCGGTAGATCATTTCCACATGAACATCCAGCATTTATGGTTATGTGTTAGGCATTTTAGTTCTCTGGTTACTTTTTCTGATACATTCAACTAGCTTATTCTGTAAATCTGCTGGCTTTTATTTCTACCTATATACAACCAGCATCTGAGTCAAGACCAAGGCTTCTGGTCATATTGTTAAGAATGGTTAGTTCAAATAATACTATAAACTTTATAACTCTGCTAAGCCTGCTTTAGATGAAGGACTTATTGGTCTGTTTTTTACTATCATAAACACACTCCTGAAGAGGATATCAGGCTGGTGGATCATATCTACTCAATAGTATGAACTTGCCATGTCCTCGGTCATTTACATATGTGAGTGTCTGTCATTGTAATAATATAAAATTTCATATTAGATTTAGCCTGAGAATCTCAGAATCAACTCAAAAGGCCAACTTTTGATAGGACATGAAATGGCTGCAAATGATGACAGAGGATTTTATTCACATATCAAGCATATTGCCAGAGATGGACCATGGAATGTAAGCAAATTACTTATATTATTGAGATGATTGTCTCTAAATAGGATCTTCTAGCTAAGTTTACTTGATTGGACTATCTGGTTTCCAACTCTAATTCCAGCTGGTAATCTTTTTGGATTACTATTATTTTGAATTAACAATATCTAGCCATCTCATCTGCTAATCAGCTATTTTCTGCTAACTTTTGGGCTCAAAACAATATGAATAATCTTCAGAAAATTAGCTGGATAAATGAACAAGATGCTACCAGTCTACCAATCAACCGGATTATAGAGCTTTGGCCTATTGAATTCTTAATGAAGGACTATATGCTTGAGGGGCAGGCACTTCCAAAACCAGGTGATATTGGATATTTCAATGCTCAGAAACATGGAAAGAAGAATTTCATAAAACTGGGCTCTATATTTGGAAGTGAATTCAATGGGATTCTAAAAAATCTAGAAGTCACAATCACTCACGCAGAGCCAACAACCTATAAGGGCACCTGCAAGTATATTACTGAACAATCACAAACAAAGTACATTTTTATTATAACTCTTGCTTCTATGGTTTTGAGTGACTTGTTTATAGATGTATTATCCCATACCAAGACCACTTTACAGCATGGCTTGGAAATATTGTCCAAAAAATAATGATTACAACTGCCTGGAAACTCTTAGTTGAAGATGGACATATACTCTCCCAGACTTATGGACTTCCAATTGAAGATATAGTGATTGGTATGCTTTAAATTGGAATCTTCCCCTATTTCTAATGAATACAGTTACCCACTCATTTGAAGACTTTGGCTGGATTAACATGTGGCCCTCGGAGTCAAAAGATATAATATCTGCTATGAATTCTAAGCAATCATGGTCTGAAGTTCATCTATATACTTCTTCAGATCCTAGAGAAAATTGGACCTGGCAGTTTTTCGAAGCTTTAGACAACCAAGCCTTTCAGGGCATATCTCCTCCTAGTTTGGCAGGCAAAGCAGTAAATAAGATCTTTAAAGAGGATATTGGTAATACATGGAGAATTCAAAAGTGTGTTCAAATATCTTTCTAGATGATTGCTGATGGATATCCTAGACCATGTACAATGTCATATTATATTCAACTTATATAAAATAATTAAGGCTTTCAATCATTCACATCCATAAATTGTTTTGCCTCTTTGTATGATGAATGCAGTTTTTTTCTCTACAACAAGCCTGAAACGAAAGACACTCTCCTGCCCCTGCTTCGACTCCATCTCCAACTCTGCCCGCAATTCCGGTCATTGTCCTTTGCCGCCTCACTGCCTGGGAAAAGAAATTACCCAAGCAGTACACTGTTGCTGCTGCCCTGGGGTAAACTTCCTCTACCTCACAAGTGCACTGAAGCTGTCACTCTCTGGTCTGGTCGACTGCGGCGCCACCTCCGACTTTATCGACATAAACTATGTCGCTCGGAATCATGAATGGCATTTCAGTCTGCACCCTTAACCAGCCAATTCTGGTCTTTAATGTTGATGGCACTCCAAATGATGCTGGCTCCATCAAACAGATTGCGGACTTGGTTTTTTGCGCTACAAGGGCCACGCTGAACGGGTTCAACTCACCGTCACTCATCTTGGCAAACAAGACCTTATCCTGGGGTACTCTTTGCTGCGGAAGCACAACTGATCTGATACTGGACTCGGACTTGGACAACGATAACGACCAGCTTGAAGATGGTGACCACATCTTTTACACCTTGGTCCGTCCCTCGGAGGAAATATGCATAGGCAGTACCGTCTCGCAGTGCCTGGCCGAAGCCTTTGCCAGGAACTTCACCCCTCCGCCCTCTGACATCCCAGACTGGGCTACGGAGTTCCAGGACATCTTCAACAAGGAGTCCTTCGATACGCTACCGGAGTGGAGAGCCTGGGACCACGCCATCGAGCTTGTCCTGGACACTAAGCCCACCAACTGCAAGGTGTACCCCATCTTGCCCCTCCAGCAACGCAAGCTCGACATGTTCATCAAGGAAGGGCTGTCAACGAGCCGGATTCATCCCTCCAAGTCTCCAATGGCATCTCCAGTCTTCTTTGTTAAAAAGAAGGATGGCGGACTTCACTTTGTCCAGGACTACCAGGCTCTCAACACGATGACTATCAGGAGGAACCCCTCTCTCGGCCTGTCGGAGTCGCCCCGACTCCGGTGCCTACTCCGGTTCTGGCTTTAGTGATCACATCACCGCCTCTATCAGGCGCATCGCCGCCCCTGCCTGGCGATCCCCCCTGGGACCTGGCCTGCAACATGGTGCGGGCATACTGCACGGAGCAACAATTAACCTTGGCGCGTCAAGAGCACAGTATATAGTTTTGCTACCTAGCAGGCGGACCCTTAGAGTTTCTTCTCTTTGGATCCTCCCCTGCTAGGACCTTGACCTCAGGCCTCCAGGGTTGCCCTTATAGCAGAAGAAACTCTCTATGGGATCAACCGAACAAGATTGCCAGGTTCAGTGCTGACTCAGGCTCGGAGTCCGAGTCCACTCCGCCCTTGCCACTGCCACTGCCACTTGTCCCCTCCTCCTCTGTCACTCCTGTCATCCCCGCACCTGTCATGCCTTCCGGAGCTACTCCTGATGCTGGCACTCGGCTGAATGCACTCGAGGCAAAGATCGACCGCCTAACTGAGGCTCTTGCTCTTCTCACCACCTAGGCTTCCGCTGCCGCTGCTGCCGCTAATACTGCTGGCGGACCCTAAATAACACCACCTCCTGAGACGTCGATTCTGACTCTGACTCCAGTCCAGGGCAATTCCAAAGCCCTCTTTGGCAAGTTGACCTTGCCTCAAAATTGGTCCACCTGTTAATCCCAATCATCTCTTTTAATTAGAATGGACAGCACAATAAAGGGGGCAATAAAACTGCAATATTTCTGAGACCCCAGGCTCTAAGTTATTTCTTGTGCTATTGCACAAGGTCAGTGTGACATTTGTGACACAGCTGATACTCAAGGCTAGTAACTCTATCACCTATAGTTCCCACATATCCTACCAAGTTCATATACTCTGTTACATTGTGTAATATGAGGTCACAAGTGTGACATAGTTCCCAAAAAGGAAATTCCGCAGTTTAACAGCAGAATGATCAG